AAATTTCACAACGTTAAGTTAATGTTTTGAGTGCACATTGTAGTTCTGCTTGTGATACTGATGCAAACCAACCAAAATAGGTATCAGAATCGAATGAAATTTTTGTGATAAGCTTGCTGATAATAGGTGATCACACATTGAAAAATAATTTGAGTACCATTACAGAAGAAGAGATATTCTTGAAGGAATTCGAAATCATAACCGACTTTGAAGTGATTCACGAAAATGTTAAAATTCAAGAAACACTAATCATACACCAAAATCAATTTTTGAAGAATATATGACAAATGAAGATATTGATCTAGAAATAAATACTAACCAAAAATTGATAAAGAAAATGAAGAGGTTGGACAAGAAATACATACTTACTATGCGCTCCCAGAAAATAATAATTATGGATAATGTGAAAGGCATAAAGACAGATTGTTAACTTGATCCAATTAAAAATAATATTGAACAAGACGAGACAACAAATATACAATCTGTTCTACACGACAGTACCAAAAATATTAAAAGCAATATAAACATAATGTCCACTGTTAATGTTAAATCAGGGGACATGTCAGTCATTTTAAATGGATATTGCCTGGTCTAGCTGAGTACATCAAAAAAGAAGATAAATCGATCAATGAAACAGGAGCTATTTCTTCGAAAGAGTGGAAACAATTTGAGAGACAAAAAGAAGAGATGAAGAACAGGAAAAGTACGAAATATTGAATAAAAATCAAATACTTTAGATTAAGGCAAAGAAAGAAGAAGAGGAACATAAAAGAAAGAAGAATTACAAAAAATTGAAGCGGAAAAGCAGTTGAATTCTAAAAAAAAAGTGTAAATAGAAAGAAAAATAGTGCCTGTACTATAAAGAGAATGAGATGTAATAATTGTGAAGATCAAATAGGATGTGATAATTACCCTGCATGGTACCATTTGAAATGCACTGAATTCAGTATGGATATATGAGAAAATATATATAATAAGAAATTTCTAGGTCAAATATGCAAAATAAGTGAGAGGCTGACTACAGGGTAAGCCATGGCTGACTTCTGGAGAAATGAGGCTGAGCACTGGGAAAAAGTGCCATTATATGATTATCGTTAATTTTTTCCATAAGTCTAACAAAAGTTTAATATTTTGTTAAATTTTTCAGTTAATTAAGTAAATAACCTTTCACAAAAAAGTGGTTGTTTTTATCTGTAGTGTTTAATATTTGAAATATAGATGATCAAAATTCAATTAGTCACTAAAAGGCTGACTACTGGGTGTTTTACCCTATCTCGAGTGAATTACTGATGTTATGTCTCAGTTATATGCTGAATCAAATTTCTACACGATAAATAATACAAATTAAAAAATTTCATATTTTGAATTAATATTTTATGTGAAAAAAACTTATACATTCTTCTAACGAGAACAAATATATAAACAAGGAATATTATAAATTCTTTCTTATTACTATTATTTGTGTGAAATTTGTTATTTTTTCCCTGTAATTGGATGTATGTTGGTAGGTAATGAATGTATTATTATTATTATTATTAGTATTATCATAAGTAGGTATATATTAATCCCTGGAATACATGGACGTTTGTACATGTAAAACATATTGAAATAATCAAAAATAATGCGTATATGAGATGGGTAATTTACATTGTTTACAAGCCCAAAAAATATTTTGTAATTGAAATATATGTATAGGAAAATGCAAATATGTATAAGTATATACGCACACATATCGCACTAGTATTTCTAAAGTGACACTACTCAAAAATGGTGTTTTTGAGTTATGACTATCAAAGACATTGGTGAATACCTCTAGGCTTGGGTTCGACAATATGCAATCAATATTCTTGGAAAAGATAAGTTGATTATGTAATTGCTCTTCCCCTAAGCTCAGTAATAGTTTGTCATGAATCTCCAAAAATGTAGGTTTTTGACTTGTGTCACTTTAGAAATACTAGTGCGATATATGAATAAATATACAGAACAAGCATTCTTGAAACTCAAATTAATCAAGAGAATGTAATAGTAAGGCTATAACTATGTGAACTATATCACAATATTTCTCTTACATTTATACCTTGTAAGATAGTGGAGGCATCACATCGTACACGTTGACATAGTTCTCTAACATAATATTCTTTTGTTTAATTTGAATTGTTCGGATGGATGTTCTAGTATTTTTCATTTATATATATATATATGTATATATTTAATATAGATATATATGACTGAGATTGAATTCTCGCTTAACTCTTGGTGAAACATAATTACTGATTAATTCACTGATTGTGAAACATATTAAATTGAATTGAACTCTTGGCTTAATGTTTCACGATTATTTTTATCAACATGAATTAGTCACCATGTTTCGAGCGTGAGCTCATTTTCAAGACTAAAAATTTCTCAAGTCTTCAAGTCTTGAAATCGAGCTCACGCTCGAAACATGTTGAAAAATTCATCTTGTTAAATGTAATAGTGAAACATTACATTGACATTTTTTTGTGCTCATGGCACTGAATGAAATATTTAAGAAAATGATCACTAGATCAGCGTTCATCAATACAGAAATATCGAAATCGATATCAAACCTGATGGAAGTGCGAGACATATATGTTTCGCTCGGCAAGGAACTCGTCAAATTTATATTTATATATCAATATTGCTCAACTAAAACATTCTTTCGGTTAATTTCAAATGAATGTTCTAGTGTTCATTTTTTATATATATATATATATATATATATATATATATATATATATATATATATATATATATATATATATATATATATATATATATATATATATATATATATATATATATATATATATATATATTATATATATATATATATATATATATATATATATATATATATATATATATTAACAGATTCTGAAACTAAAACACAGTTTTTAATGAGTTGAATAATTAAAAATGAATTTGAATAACCTGTCCTGAAAATACTTCAACCAAATTTTCCCACATATCTTTTGCCTGACCTCTCTCAAATCCTGAATATTGGCGATTCCATCTCAAATAACTGAATAATTTATATTCAGAAAACTACTTCTTCTCAGAAAATATATATTTATTATCACACCTATTGGGTTGTTAACCTTTCTTTCTTGGTGGTACACTCTGCGTGACCATACGTGAAACTGAAATCATTGAATTCGTTGTGATAGATATATTAGTTTCAGAAAATCTGAGTAATTATATCCTCTGCAATTGAAATTGAGACTGTTTCTCATTTTGATTGAATGAGGTAAACTTATAGGATTATCATTTTATCAAAGTTATAATTTTGTAACATATATTTTCAGTGATTGGACATTGACTATTTATTCCAATTTTATGTAACCATTTCCTCTGTAATTTCTGAACATTTTTCCTCTTTGAAATTCTTATACAAAATCAAAAATCAAAAAATATTGAATTACATGATAAACAGAAACTTCTTCTTTGCAGTATTCTCCAATTAATACATATAATGTTATATCCAGTCCAAATATTCAGTCCAATAAGCTCAGGATATTTGTATCTAGGTAACTATGAGCTTATTAATTCCAAAACTGTTCCAAATCCCAAAAATGAGAAGATCGTTCACATTTTTCGTTGAATTATGTGATATAGAGAAATTCGTGAGTTTTCCCATTATTATATCCATTTAATCATCACATTGTCAGTTTGATTAAGTTGAAATTTATGTGTAGTAGAGTGAGATTTGCTCCACATTTTCAGTGTTATATCAAGGTCGAAGCACGTAAATATTCACAGATAAAACAATTTCCACGTCGTATTTTATAATAATTTCAACGATTTAAATCAACTTCATATCTGAATTTGTTAAACTCATTTTCTTGAATGAAATCAAATACAATTTTTCTTAATAAAGTCCATATTTACTTTTATTTAACATACCTATGACATAATGCAATTCAAGTGTACGTATCACTTTATCTTGAAATGGCGACATTCATCAATCTACAAGACATTAATTACGTTCAAAATTACATCATATCTGCCATAAATGATCCCATATATACTTTTTCAATACACAATTAATCAATATCGTCGAACGTGAGTCTACTTAAAGAAAAATATAAAAAAGAAACCAAATGAGACAACGATCAGATAAATTAACTTTGCAAATTGTGTTTCTTGACCTCCTTTCAGAAAACGGCATTGTTTTATTTCTAAAGTAACCGCCCCCAAGTTGCAGTAAAAATCATATCACTTGCGGTCTCATCGAATAAATATAGTACAATTGCATGGTAAGAATTAAATGTCAGACGGATCTGTCGGTGGATAGGAAATCTTAGATCAATTTTTATAGAATGAAATTTATTTCATACTATGAGTTGTTTTTATACAAAGGAAAAATCTATTGCTAGAGAAAAAACATCGTTTTTTTGTTTGATTCTTCCATTCTAGTGAGGACTATATAACAACCTAATCTAAGGAAATATACATCAAAATAGCTTAAGTAATATATAATGGACTCGTCCAATTGTGAACGCACGGTGTTACTATTCTTTTCATTGAAAATTATTTTCAAATATATCAAACGATATAATGTTGCATTAGAATATATTGTACTGTATCTTTGAAACAAAAGGAAAAATCAAACTTTATTGATTTTTGAAAATTCAAGAATTGAATTCAAAATTTGCTTTCAAGGATGAAATTCCTAGAAATTTCCTGAACATCGAAGTAATAACTTCTTCACTTTTTTCTTTTTCAAATTGGAGGTATGCTAGGTGAGCAGGAATGTTACACTTCGTGTGACCTTGCCATACGAAACAACCGTATTTTGCAGGTTGTTTGGTGTTTATGGTTTCAACGTGCATAAAGTTCGAGACATATTTATATTTTTATAATTCAGTGGACGTATCGATTAACGCCGGTTCCGAACTGCCAAAGCGCTCATAATCAATATACATTACCCAACAATTATCATCATTGAACTACTAAAATGGTAAACAAACCCATACACCCATGCCCTCCCCGGGACTCGAACCCGAATCCTACCGTACCGAAGTCGGCTGTTTTCTCGACTAAGCCAAGGACGCTACTTCGAGAATCTCTTCTTGTGAAGATATTATAATACATAATTTTTACAGAGTCCTTGTCATCCCTAACGGTTGTGAACACCTGTGATTGTTGTCTTCCTCTACTTTTCATCATTTTCAATGCAAAACTAATTTCAATTTTTTATATAGGTATTACAATATTTAATAGAAAAATGTAACATTTCATTTCTCATTTTATTTCTCAATATTCTACAACAATTCCCATATAATTCCGAGAAAAGAAACAGATACTAACTACAAAAAGTTAACGAATTCGATTTGATATCACATTTTAGAAAGAAGATATTTGACAGCATTCTACAACAACCAAATCATCAAAAAATGGGTTGAATATGCTGATCTGACGTAATTTTCGAAAAAAGGAAATTTTAGGATAAATGCTGATATCCTGATCTTCATGATTTTCTGTTGTTTTCTATGGAAAATAATTGCTCACATAAGTGAGTAATTACTCCAGGATATTACGTTATTACGTTTAGCAAACGATAACATTTTAGGAAATTAATCTACTGTTCATTTTCATCCATTTTAATAATTTGTGTTTTTTGGTTCCATGGAATTATTTTATTTGAGAAACCAGCGGACCCGACAAACTTCGTTCTGTCAAAACATTTGGAATGTGGCAGTTTTTGTTTCTACCTATTTTATACTCGCGCAAAAAATTCTCCTGAACAGAACTGTCACCGTGATGATAGGGCGGTGTGTTAGGTTCAACTCGGGTGACCAAAGTATCTTGGCTTCCACGAACTTTGGCCACCCTTCTGGGACCCTATAACCACGGTGAAATAATTTTGCACAGATAGAGATATTAAATTAATAATTAAAAATAATGAAACATTTTTGGTAACGCGGTTTGTGTTCGACTGATGTAATGACGTGAAAACTGATGCATTTTATGTCGCGCGCCGAGACTAAAACAAAAGAAATAATATCGCGTAGCCGACCAAATTGAAAATCAGTACTAATGATCTATAGCCTTTACATTTTGTGACTATTCAATTTGGTCGGGTTCACGATATTATCACTTTTGTTGAGTTTCGGAATACGACATTAGATCCTCCAACATGCACAGACACACTGTTTTGATAGATAATACTGAATTTGAACTTTGTTCAGCGTTAATAAGTGCAAATTAACTCCTTGACGTTAGGAACACACCTACATTGCTTAGACAGCAGTGAGTGCTTGTAATTTAATATGAACTTTATTGAATAGAAATAAAGTTCAAATTGATGCTACATTTCATTTAGAAAACGTTTGTGTGGGAAAAAGAAAAGGGCTGTTCCTAGGGTTTTCCCGGCAATATTTCGAATTTTTATCGCCGTTAAAACCATCCTTGGACTTCAACGAACTTTTAAAAAAAAGAATTGGCAAAATGGGTCCACGAGTTGTTGAGTTATGCGCTTACCAACACACTTTCCAATTAATTTTTATATTATAGATTCTGTAATTTAGGTGGGAGAGGAAATAATGACTGTTAATCTCTCACCATTATTATCTAAGGAAAACCACAAATATAATGCTTTCATTATATATTTGTACTAAATTCATTTAATATATTGCAAAATTATTCATAAAATTTCTTTCAACAAAAATGTTCTGTTCGATCGCAACACATCTATTAGAGGACCGCATAGAGAAAAAATGAATCCAAAAGTCATTTCGAAAGTTGAATAGTAATTTATTTTGAATGCCACTAAAAAGAACAAAGAAATCATCCAAAATGTTCACTAAGTAGTCACGAATTTATATTTAAGGCTAACCTGTACTCGAAATCAAACACTTCCTTCAACGAATCATCAAAACGGTATAACATACTGCAAAATCAACACCTGTCGTCTCGATTATCTGAATCAGAGATAGCGATAGACACACATAACCGGATTCTTTTTATTGTCTGTGGTCGACGTATCTATGCTAGGCCATGACAAGGCCGACAGGATAATTGACTCGACTATTTCGAATCTGTCTTATTAATTCCAATTCAACCGTCCAAGTGACATGATTCCCAAGAATTGTCGGATTTATTTAGTGTGTTTAAGGTAGAAGAAGATTGTCGTTTGGCTAATTGGCTTCTCGATGGTTACGAAAAATGACGTTCCATTTGATAGCTACTTTTGTATGGAACCGACTCTATGGAGTTTTAATCCCTAAGTTGTTCGTTATTTCGATATTCAAAAAGGTGTATTTGTTGTGTTTATTATTTTCATTAATTTTTTCTTCAAATACAAACTAAAATTCAAATACTTGAACTTTTGATTTACACTTTATTTACAATATAGCATGACTCGTTTCGTCGTTACAAACGACTTCTTCAGGTGCTAACATAATACTGAGACTATTCTGTTGGCTGAGTGTTATTCTATTTTTTGAGCGTTCATAAACACAGAATTTCACTTTATATTCAATTGTAATGGATTTACATCAAGTAAACGCCAACACTACTAAATATGAGAAAAAACTTCTTCGCTCTCATTCAAATTTTATTTATATAGAAGATCATTTTTCTAACAACACGAAAACATGCTCATCAGTAATATATATCAGGAATTTAAATATATTTTGCAACTTTTCGAGCAGGGTTGGGAGGAATTGTAGGAAGTTTGTAGAAAAACTTTGGTTGTGAAGTTATGCATCCACTGATTTCCTCATAATTGTAGCCTAGTATTGGGGAATTATTTCCAGAAGTGTAGGCTTTCAAACACATAGCACACATTGATAAAATTACTTCTATATTTACAAAGTATTCATTCTGTGTTGTTGCGCTCACATTCTGGGGCAGACTCAGTTCGTTCGTTTTGGATTTTGCCGTTTTAACACAAATACTTTTCAGTTTCCCCCATGGTGATTGAAGACCGCTGTTGCTTTTCCTTATTTAATACTGCATAAAAGCATTTTTTTCTCTCCTAATAGCACATTCCGCATAATTCTTCAACTCGAAGTAGTATTACCGATGTACTGCTAACTTCGTTTTTAAAAACCTTTTACGGGCATTATTTTTCAAGCTGATCATTTTTTTTAGTGTATATACTGTATAGTTCACTCTGAATCTATTGAAATACATCAATGATACAACCTAGATACAAGTGGAATATTAAAAATAAAAACTAAAATATATCAATGAAAAATTATGAACTTACAGCCATGTGAGAGTATAAAATTAACAATCCCTGCATATACTAGTCTGAATATCAAAAATAACAATGAATCAATTTCCGTTATATAAAATAACGGGAGTTGTGAAATAAGTTTTATTTGTACATTTAAACTGTTGCTGCAACTTGTAATTACAGCCATACGTTTTATATCTCATAAATGTTGTATGAAATATAAAAGATGAGAAGATCTAATCATATCATCTTAAATTCACAAGTGATATTCGTACTGCAAATGTGCAGACCTTATAAAGCATTTCCCAAGGACTCTATAAATAACGTGGTTTTTCTGAATATCAATTTCATTCCGTGATTTGCTCAAACTCGTTATATATAAGTAGGATACTATGCCAGACACTATAAAATATAGTATATTAATATTTAATACATATATCGATATCAGAGTTTCTTTGAAGAAAAACACTGTATATATTTCTGCTAACTTTCATGTTTGATGGATTGACGTATATAATAAATGAAATAAATCAAAGTACACCTTCAAATGAATATATTTTATATCGTAACAGAATGTTAATTCAGTTTTTCAGTCATGTGGCCATTAGTAATAATTCTGGTGGGTAGAAATTGCACGGGATTTTCTGGAGGAACTTCTCAATTATCCATTGACATCACCGACTGTTTGTACGTTGAAGATGGACCATGTATAACATGAAAGGTTAAACAGGCAATCATTATTCAAATGACTGTGAGAAAGAAGGACGCGTACACGACCTTTAAAAACAAATATTTGTATGCCATAAATTTGAACTCCAAGCAAGGAACATCATACATTTGAAATGGAAAATATTGATACTAAGTTCAGTAACGTAGGTGTCGTAATTTGTTATTCAACACTTCGCTAAATAATAACTATTCCTGTTCTCAATTTAAAGAGAAATTAATTGGAACATTTGCCGTGAAATTTCAATATCACTCTCCTGAATTGAAATAAGTACAGAAGTCGAATTTAAAGCACTATAATATGAATAATTGTTTCATTATTGAAAGTCCTTGAAGTCCGTTTAATAACATGCTGATACTTTTCTCGGAAGTAATTGAGAATTCGGTACTTAATATTGTCAAAATTTTGAGTAAAGTTGTGGAAGAATTGATGAGAAAAAATTTTTTCTGAATGATAATAATAAAAGGTAGTATTCATTTCAACATCAGAAAAATATTCTGATATAAAAATACTGTGATAAGGATTATTTTTTCCGAAATTTTATTTATGATAGGAGATGTTAAAATTTTCCTTCAAGAGTCTCAAACTTCCACTCAATATCACAAAAAATTCTCCTTGGTATGTAGATAAAAAACATTTTTGAATTCAGAAAGAACTTAGATTTGAAAATTTAATTTCATTGCTGTGTATCTTTTATACATCTTCTGTATCTTGTTGAGAAATTAATTTGTATTATGTTACTGGATTCTTAGAATGAACTTTGTTTTCATTATCTGATATGTCAGAAATATTCTAAACAGCAATGCAACTGGCAATTGGCAAAATGCAATTTGCCAGAATTATTGACGATTAGATCAAAATTTACTGTTTGTTCAGTTTGGCTTGCCATGTGATTTTTTTCACTTGTGGCATTCGTTTCTCAATTCGCATGATATCAGTCAAATTAAAACAGCTTGAGGTTACTTTCATTTGCAAAAATATGTCATTAGTATCAGTCTGATCATTGATATTGATTTTTTATGATTATTGAAGATTCTCAATAAAGTTGATAATGTTTTTTAATTCAACATAATTTGAAACATCAGTAAGCTTGCTGTTAGTTCAAACCTCTAATCTATGAAACAAATGGTATAAAAATCTTT